TTTTAATTCATGAAAATGATTTTTAGTACTTTTTGTTAACAATTTAGTAAAACAACACTGACCTAAACTTACCTTGGGGGTATTCCAGAAAGCAGGTTATGTGACATACATGTTTAAGGGTAAGTAAGCAAATAAACTCAGCTTTCCGTTTCAAAAAGAACCAGCATACGTCGAGTAAGCAAGGTTTGGGTTAATCAACAGAGAGTTCAGGGTTTATGTGAAGGTAAGTTAACCTTGCTTTCTGGAGTACACCCCTGCTGAAAACTACAACATGACAATGTTTTTTTTTTTTTTTCCATGGACAGTGATACAAATTTCGTGGTATTGTGGTCTGGCATATTATGTATATTAAATGCAAATATTAAAAATTTGTAAGCTTATGGCAGCTCTCTCCAACAGGCCTTACCCAATGCATGACAGCCCCCAGGTCCTAAACATTCGCAACTCTTGCTTCAGGCGGGAAGTTGAAGCTCTCAGGCTACACTTTCATCAACAGTATCACAACTGGACTCCCGTCGATGCTCACAAGAGCAAGTGGTGGGTGTGGGAGCGAGTTTTAGATGAGGTTCGCATTAGCTTGAGACACATTTATGATTACCTGGAAAAGATTCACAAAGGTGAGAGCATGCAAATGACGCACAGTTGTCAAACAAGAATCCCTAGTATTATACATTCTTAGATGACTTGTTCTGTCATTCTCACAGGCCAGGCAGCCTGTATAGACAGACTGTGCATTACTACACGAGAGCTGCAGTCCCGGCTAGGGGAGTTTGGGCAGTACTGTCCAGTTAGCTTAGCTCTTCATCGCCATCTGGTGGACTGTTCACATAATACCTCACTGGAATTGGCTGCAGAGTTCAGGGGCCACTTCTACAAAATGACCAGCAGGGAATTTCTAGAGGTAAAGGTCCAGCAGCACACAGAAATATTGGTTTAATTCACTCACATCTCTCTTTATGTGTTTAATAAGAGATTTCTAGAGTCCCCAGAACAGTTTGTGGCTCCAGGTTGCCCCTACCCATTACCTCCTCCTCCACTCCTGCCTCATAAGCTCAGTGCAGGCCAGGTGAAGAGTAGGTTCCCTCAACAGGTGGAGATGAAGGGTTTCTGCCCTGTCACTTATCTGGATGGTCAACAGAGGTACAGCAAAGCCACTCTACAACACTTACGGAAAGAATAACCTTAATTTTACTGTAGTCTTGCTCACTCTAATCATTAATTTTTAACTTCATTCCAAGTAAAAACACATTCCTGCCACGTTATTCTCTTCACCTGTAGGTATGAGGCCTTGGTGCGTGGAAACACGGAGTATGCTGTTGAGTACCAAAATAAGATCTATATCTTTGAGAATGAAAAGAAACGAGAAATTTTTCTCCAGTGAGTAGTTATTTTGCAGAGGGGATTCCTGATTGGCTAGTGCAATTACTTTGCCATTACAGGAATAAAATACATTTTAAAATAGAAAACAGATAATTCACAACAGAACTGTTCTTAGGTCACCTGAGACTTACTGGGACCAGAAACTTCCACATAAACTACCTCCGTTGGAAGATCCGGTCTCACTGACCTCTTTACCGATCCTGGGCTATTTGGAACAAGTAAGAGGGCACTGAAACACAGAATCTGCGGCTTTTGTCTACCTATAAATATTGGTCACATAATTGTGTAACCATCAGTAAACCATGTTTTGAACAAGTGGTAAAATAGTGTTTAAAGCTTTGTTTTTTTGTGGAAATGTATTTACTTATCTTAACCACAGTTGTGTTTGCTATTATTGTACATGTATTTTTTTTTAAATATGTTTGTTTTCTCTTGTAGAGTGTGGCAGTACCCATAATCAAAGCCATGACTGCTGTTGGTCAACTCAAGCCAAAGTTGCCCTTTCTCAGTGTGAAGAAATCTGCTATATTGTACCTGGCCTTTCATCTGAAAGGTGGCCTTGAATGTCTTATTTTAGCTTCCTTTTAAAATAGCAGAAAATTAGAATTAATTCATTCATTCACTCATTCATTCAATGTAGGGTATTTTCAAGTCTAAGTAAACACTTGAAATCTTTCTACCCTTCTACCCCCACAGCATTCAACAGCAGGAACCCAGACTATATTCGTCAGAAGTACAAAAAGAAACTTCAAAAGTTTGAGGAAAGCTGTGAGCTCATCTCATACCTGAGTACCACCATGAAGACATACAGATCCCCTCACAACCTGCCCCCTGATTTTGCACACAAGCTGGACAGGTTTCTGGCCATGGAGAAGTCCACCAAAACAGCCTTGGGTCTGATACAGCTTGGGGGAAGTTAGAACATAACTTCAAATAATAAAAACCTTGAGTCAGACTCGGCACATCACGATATTTGACAGTATTGGTTGATGTTACATTAGTAAAATTCATAGATATACATTTTGAAAGGACTTTGTTAACGTGTTCTTTACAATGGACAATTAAAGATATGAATGAGCCCAATAAATACATTTTAATTGATTTTTGTGATGTGTTCTTGTATTGAACGTTTGCTGTTGTTTTTTTTTAATCAATAACTAAATGGATAATGAATAAATAAAACGATGGATAGAAAAACGACAGACAGGCAGATAGGAAGGTAGATAGATACTGCATGAATAAATATGCAGAACGGTTCGTCATCGTTGTGCGCCATTCACCGCGGTTACCCTGACAACGAGACGCACACAACATGGCATCCACGGTACATTTAGAGATAGTCGGTCTTTTAAATAAACATAATTTTCAAATAGCCAAAAGCATTGTCGAGGTAAAGTTTTTAAGAGGCTGACCACTTCGTATTTAGCATTTTAACATGGCTAACTGTTAAAAAGCCATAACGTCTCTACTTACAGGGACTGAAAAATAAATTCCCGGAGTCATTTGATGATCCAACAATTCGCCCGTTGCTGGAATGTGACTGGCATGACTATTTATCGAATAAAAAGAGGGTAAGACACTTACTAATTATATACAGCTCGCTTGTTTCCAATATGCATTTATTAATAAATCACTCACGCACGTTGACTTGTCGAGGTGCTGAAAGGGGAGGTTTGGCAGTACAGTGGCTGTCTAATGTCCTTCGCAAACGGTCAGTTGCTCGGTGATGAGAGGAAACTGTCCAGCTGGGCAGAGAAAGAGTGGAAGTTTTCTTTCCATCGACCACAGGCGCTTTATAAAGCCCTAGCTGAGGAATATTACACCAGCAACCTGCGAAGCACAGGGGTAAATTAACACAAGAGCGAGGAATAAATGTTAATCCAGTGAATGAATAAACGCACATCATATGTAATTAGACTACAACCATCTATAATTTCACATAATAGCTACAAGGTGTGCAACATCTGCTCTCTCTTTCCCACAGCATATTTTTGTTTATATGGATATTGAAAGCGGTGGAGAGGCATTTGGCAGACTGTTGTTTGAGGTAAATAGATGTTATGCCTCTTGATAATGTAAGCTGATTGATAATTTGATTACTTGAGTTGTTGTGGAAATGTGTTTCCACTTTTTCTCCACTCTCAAAGTGTTTTAAATGTAACCTGTCAGCTGTTCTCAGACTTGTGTGCAAAGACGTGTAGGAACTTTAAGGCCTTGTGCACTGGAGAGGCAGGTTTGTCCAAGAGTAACCTTGAGTTGAGCTATAAGAGCTCAATTTTCCACAGAGTTGTGCAAAATGGCTGGCTGCAGGGTGGAGGTAAGATAATAATCATAATTGTATCGAAATATATATATATAAAAAACTTGTGATTGTATATAATTCATTGATATATTATATGATTTTGATTACAGATATTTCACCTGAAAGGAAAGGCACTGGGGGAGAGTCTATCTATGGCCCAACATTTGAGGGTACAGAGTTTGTGCTACATAAAGTACATACTTTGGTCGTTAAAGTCAGCATGAAATGGAAATTGTGTCTTTTTTTCCCCCCTATCGTTACATAAAAAGAAAAAGGAAAAAATGTAGGCCGGTACCTAATTTTGTAGGCCAGTACCTAATTAACTTGATCATTGTCACAAGATTGCGAGGACATGAAAAAAATAATGTGTATGGATAAATCATTTATAAACGTTGCAATATTCCATTAAAATAAGAACTGTCAATTATGATTTCATGGTGACTTTAAAGTGTGTGAAATACACATTGTTTCATACATATAAAAAGCACCAGGTGGTTTTCTCTTCTAGATGAGAATTTTGTCGTATCCCACAACAAGCGTGGCATTCTGGGAATGGCTAATCAAGGTGCTCATAGCAACGGCTCTCAGTTCTACATCACACTACAGCCAGCTTCCTGGATGGACCACAAATATGTGGCTTTTGGGTAATGACTCCAATAGATTGCATACTGTATATACACAAGAAAGCCCAAATTATGAGAGCTTGTCTTGATATTTGGCTTTGCATTATTAATGCAGACAATATCCAAAAGGTAAATGCCTAATTAAGATCTTTGCTATTTACCATTCTTACAAAATTGAAAATCTCCATCACAGCTTTTTCTTTCTCTTCCAGGCAACTTGTTGAGGGCACAGAGGTTCTGAAGAGACTAGAGGCAGTGCCCACCTACAACGAGAGGCCCAAACAGGACTGCAAAATATCAGCATGTGGAGTATTTGAGCCCTGAGTAATCCCATACCGCCTATCAAGACAGCAATACAAGAAGCGTTTTTAATAACCATTTTTATTACATGTAGAAATACTTTTGTGCGTTTCTATGTAAAGTTCAAAAATAAAGCCAATAAAAACCTCAATTTATACACTTTACCAGTACTGTTTATTTCTGTGGCACCCATAACAAATGGATTTTTTACGCTGCCTTGTTGGATTTGGTTACCCTTCTGTAGCTGTTTATAAAAGAACCAAAATGCTTTTCAGAGTATGAAATAAAGGAGTTTAGGCATTACCGGGGAGGATTTAGAGAACGTTAAAGCAATTCTGTGTGAAAAAGAGGGGAAACGGATCATGGTAACTTCTTATGCTGCCTTGTTGGATTTGGTGACCATGCTGTGACTAAATGATTTCTAAAATACAGAAGAGAGAAATTTAGAAATCACCTGAGTGAATCTGAAGATCAATAAATGCATTCTGTGTGAAATAAAGGTAACATTTCTGTAACCTGTATGCTTTGAAACAGAGGAGATTAGACATCACCAGAGTGAATCTGGAGAACATTAAATCCATTCAAATACAAATTTCATCAAAGTTGTCCTAAAACCTAAAACGCATTCTTGTCTTAGGACAACTTTGATGAACTTTTTTGATTCACTTCAAATGGTGACTACTGTAGATTTCGGTAACTTCTTAAGCCACCTTCAACTGAATAATGAACTCCACTCATTCAGGGGGCTCCCAAAGGGCAAAAATACACAAAACTTCATACAGCTGCTTTAAGTATGTCCTTACAACAGTGGTTCTCAATTCCAGTCCTGGAGCCCCCCTGCTATAAATATTAATGCAGTGTTCCCTTTGTTAGACCGAATGCTTTTTCTACATTGTAATTGGGCAATTTTACCGTTCAAGTAAGATAATAAAATAATTTAATCTCAAAATAATATTTAATCTCCATTAATGTATTTATCTTATAAGTGGGCTGTGGATCACCCCAGAGAAAATGAAGATGAGATTATTATAAAATACAATTTCATGAAGGAAATGGTTCACAGACCCACACAATATTTTGCTGCTCATAATTCAGGCTTGATTTTTATTGTAAGCTTTAAAGCCAGGTCTCCAACCCTGCTCCTGGAGAGCTACCGTCCTACAGATTTCAGCTCCAACACACCTGAACCTGCTAATCAAGGTGTTGGAACAGGGTTGGAACTGAAGTCTTCAGGACGGTTAGGAGCAGGGTTGGAGACCCCTGCATTAAAGTGTTAATATAACTTTCTTTTGTTTAAAAAATTATTTTTTTACTAAAATAAATAGATCTCAATTAACACCGGTCCAGTAACAACCTTTTGCATTTGCTTTAAAGATTGATTGTGTTTGAGTAAGCATTCACACGGCTCAGCTGACGGTGACACCTCGAGTAACTTATGTGTTTAATGAGGACAGAGTCAGACAGCCGAGCAGACCTGACCAAGACACTCACCATGACCACGCCGTTTTCTCCTCCACTTTACATGCAGCGATACCAGTTTGTTATCGACTATGTGAAAACCTACCGACCTAAAAAGGTAAATAAACATATGAATGGCATTTTAAAGTTAAGTCGCGATGGCCTTTGACGCTACGCTTGAACTAGCGTGCTAATCAATAGTCTTTTTACATCTATCCGCAGGTCATCGATTTCGGATGCGCAGAATGTTGCTTACTAAAAAAGCTTAAGTTTCACCGCAACGGTATACAGTTACTAGTGGGAGTTGATATCAACAGCGTCGTCCTCCTGAAGAGAATGTACGTTTGGTATCTTACCTGCAAACCTTCCATTGTTGTGTAGTTTTAGATGGCATTAAAATGACAGTGCTATCCCATAAGGCCAACGATTTATGATACACAAGGGGCCTCCACGTACTTTTGGCCATATGCAAATCAGGATTCCTCTGTTCATTCATCTTGTGTGATTTATTTTTTGCCAGGCACATGTTGGCTCCACTTATAAGTGATTATCTACAGCCAAGTGATGGGCCTTTGACCATTGAGTTGTATCAAGGCTCTGTCACAGAAAGGGAGCCCTGCACCAGAGGATTTGATCTTGTGACATGTGTGGAGTTGTAAGTGTGCCACGTCTTTGCGAATAAACTTAGTTACTTTCAAATTGTATGTTCAACTTGAGTTTATGTAAACATCTCTACCATTTAAGAATCGAACACCTGGAGCTTGTGGAGGTGGCAAGCTTTTCTGAGGTGGTGTTTGGCTACATGTCACCAGGTGCCGTGATTGTAAGCACACCAAACGTAGAGTTCAACCCACTGCTGCCGGGTCTGAGAGGCTTCAGAAACTATGACCATAAGTTTGAATGGACCAGAGCGGAGTTTCAAACTTGGTGAGTAAATTTTTAATAATGAAAACACATTCCGGTGGTGATTTAGGATCAGATTTAAGGGATTTACATAGATGTGTTTTTTTTTTCTAGCTAAAAGCTTTTCCAACTTTCTCTCCCTAACAGGGCTCACAAGGTGTGTAGAGATTATGGCTACTCCGTGCATTTCACAGGAGTTGGAGAAGCTGTTGGCCACTGGAGAGAAGTGGGATTCTGCACCCAGATTGCCGTGTTCCAGAGGAATTTCCATGGTTCCATGAGCAATGCTGAACGCTTGGAACCCTCAGTCTATAGACTGGTGAGACTGGCTTTTTCTTATTGGAAATTCCATATTTGTTTAGAGTCATATTGTACTAAAACGGTCACAATTTAGTTTAGTAGTGCTGAAATGTGCAGCGAAAGCTTTTTATAAAAACGCCATCTCGGCATAAAGTTAGCATGAATTGATCCATGCAATTTTTAATTAAAAT